TCCGATATATTTTTATTTACACTCCTTAGAGTTTATGAGGTAAACACCGGAAAACTCCATTTGGTTGACTTTTGCATGTTGTTTGGGCAAGCTGGTTAAGAGGATTGTCCTGTTCATAAGGATTGTACGAATGTTTCTTATATTATTATCGGCTTCAGCTTCCGAGCCAATTCGTAGGAGGGTAGACAAATCCATCGTTTTTCCTCTTTTTCCCTTGCTTTTCTCTCATAATCTCCGTCCTTCCATTTGCTCATCACGATCCGTATGTTGTATTGTATTACGTCTTATGTGTATCTCCGTTGCAAGAAAAATCTGGGTTCGTTTCTTCCCAGAAATCAGAATGGTTAAGCCGAAGGCTTCTTATTATAACACTCCTGAGTATTCCAATCCTCATTCCATAAGCATGCTTAAACCGAAAGTTACGGCTTATTCTTGCATGTGATTACTTTCTGGACAGCAGTTTCTCAAGAGTCTCCTCTAAACAAACGACCTCCACATCCAAGAAAAGTAAGTAAGGAAATATTTGGGAATGTCCCAACTCAATGATCCAAGGCTGGATACTACGAATACTGTGGCAGAGGACGCATGACTTGAAAGATTCCGTAAGATCTCCCTGATGCTGCGACCAAGTTGCTAAAACGAGGCCAAATCAGCACTAACATGATAGAGTTTAAAAGATAAGTGAGGAATTCTAACTTGAGCCTTTGTTAACCTGAATGATGGGAGAATGGCTGAGTCGCATGAGGCGATTTATAAGGGGAAGTGAGAACAGCTAGCCGAAAGGTTTGGGTATGGAGTATAGCTGTGATTTTTTCGTTCGAGATATTGCGGAAAAATATTTGCAATCTAAAGATTCTCTTCTCAAATAACGGGATTAAAAATCCGTTCCGAGGCAACTTCATTTAGAAACATTGATTCAAGTCAGAATGACTATTATGCGGCAAGCAAGTGGGTATGAGCCATATCGTAAGCAGCAGAAGCTTACTTTACCTGAAAACCATCTTTTACCCGAGAATTTGCACATGAACAACTGTCCAACTTAATTATGCTGGTGAACTGATGTCTCGAGGTCTAAATATTGACGAAAGACCCTTCTCTGTTGCTGAGAGATTACCCTCGATTATATCCTCTTAGGTTTTATAATACTCAAAAGTTTATGTAATTTAATCGAAGGTATAAAGACCAAGATAGTGTGGCCTTTTGTGTGGTCGCAGTCTCCTTTCGGTGAATAGAAGTTGTTTGACCTTGTTTTCGCAACTCGTTTATATTGGTAGGAAGACTTAAAGGAACGCACTTTGTCCGGAGTCCATTGTATGCATCATCATTTACAGAGTAGTACCGTGGACGTGGTACATTCCAAGACGTATTGCCGGCATTGTAGTCGGCATCGTCAGTGAGTCTCGCCATTCGTAGCACTATATTATAACTCGTCAGAGGCAAGTCTCTTGTCTCTTGCCGGCGAAAAGTCTGGAAATGTACCACGTCCACGGTCCTACTCTGGAAACGATGATGCATACAATGGACTACGGACTAGGTGCGTTT